CCCCTTGAACCATAGGTTTCGGGGTGCGCCATGTGCAGGATTAGGCTCTGCTCACCATTCCCGTCTTAAAGTATAGAGTGGCCAGTGAACTCCAAAATGGCCACTGAGGCTGGCGCGGGCTCCGTAAATGCTACAGGGGGGTGCAGCTGTTTGGCGTGCTTTGGAATGCCATCCTCGCCTTGCTCTGCTGGTTGAGTGTCAGCCACCGCCACGGCCTCTATCTCTAGAGTGGAGAAAAATCCATTGCTATTCTCTCTTAACGCCATGGAAGGTACTCTGTGAGATCCCCTCCCATTAAGAGAGCAGCCGGCCCGGCAATGTTCAACCTCCAAAAGGGGGAGGGGGAGAAAAGAGGATAACATATAGGAAGGAAGAAGAAAAGGATTTATTTATTTTTCTTAAGTTTCTTCAGAGCGGGAACAGCAAAGATGGAAGGAGAAAGTGAAAGTAAGTTAACTCAGAAAGATAGGTTTAGGCACAGCCTACACCTAGCTGCTCTCCCTTCTGAGGCAGGAAAAGAACTGAGCCTAGGGTGACTCCCTGTACAGGAAACAGGAAGTAATTGAAATTAGTCCTGCCTCCCTAAGTGATGGATGGGAATCACCCACAAGATGTCCTCCACCTCAGAGGGAGAACTGAGGGAAGGACGCTCTGTACATAAGAACATAACAGAAGCCAATGTTGGATCAGGCCAATGGCCCATCCAGTCCAACACTCTGTCACACAGTGGCCAAAAATACCAGGTGCCATCAGGAGGTCCAGCAGTGGGGCCAGGACACTAGAAGCCCTCCCATTGTTGCCCCCCCCCAAGCACCAAGAATACAGAGCATCACATGCCCCAGCCTGTACCCTCTATGTCACGCTGGAAAAGGCAGGAAACAGAGAGAGGGAGAGGGACAGAGCATCTCTAGATGTTTTCAGCTTCAAAATCCTCTCTGCGGAAAGCCTGCACATGCACAGTACCCATGTGGGACTGCACAGGTACCACAATAAACTAGCATCTACAACAGCAAGAGAACTGTTTATGCACAAACACCATACCTGAAAGCAGATCAAACCAATGGGCTATAAATCATTACCACACCATTTAATTGTAAATTTTATTGCCCTTCTAAGATGGATGTCAAAAGATTTTGAAATATTGCTATCACATATTGGCTCTACTCTTAGAGCTTCTGTTTTATTTTATTTTTTTCTCACCCATTCCCCCTTTTAAGTTCTTATCGGGGGTATTATACCTCTCCCTCCCCATTTCCCCCAGTATTGCTATTCTACTGAGGCTTTGTAATTTCTTTTCCTTTTTTCCCCTTTCTTTTTATCTTATCTGTGCATTTCAACCTTGGCCAGTTTTGCTAACTTGTTAACAAGCAACAACTCCTTTCTCCCATCCCCTCCTTTGTTAATTAGGAGGGGGGAGTATACAGCTGTTGGTTCACGTCTCTTTACTATCTTTTAAGCTTTAAACTATTACATAATCTAAAATACCTGCCACGATATTTTTAGAAACTAAAAGCTGCATTCAGGAATGATGAAATCTAGCTTTTTCATGATGGGCATGAACCTGCCTTGCTGCTGTAATCACATTCTTTTCCTCTTCACCATCCTTACATGTAAAAAGCATGACTGAAGATTTGCAAAAAACACAACTTTGTGCATCAGCAAGGGAGTGCATGAGCATGCAATAAACCTATCACCAACAGTCCCGCTAGGATCTATTCACATGTGATGCATAGTCAAGAGCACATGTACAAAATGCCCATAAGATTTTCTTCTGGTTATTTTTAAGAATTCTGCAAACATGTGGAATGGTATTATGAAAGCCATAATTATAAAGATCAGTTAAGCAAAGGAGTCTAAACAATATGAATATTCATATAATACAGAGTATTACTTTGTATTTTAGGATCAAACTATATATTTATTCATAAATAAATATATGAATCCCAAGAACCCCACCCATTACTGAAGGAGCTTTTAAAAGCTTTGCAAGCAAAACCTCAGCAATATACACACCCGCTCAGTCAGAAAAAGTGTATTCCTTATACTTCTACCTTGGCTTTGGCCAATGACCATCAGCAGCAGGAAGTAGCCTGGAAGCAACCATTCCATGAAGTTCCCTCCCCATCTGGACAGACCTCAGTCCCTGTCCCATAACCCTTATTGATGCCCCTTGCCACATGCTGTGCTAATCCAATATTGGCTGCGCTAATCCACTATTCTGCCCTAATCAATAATTTGTTTTGTAATGATCTCCTCCTGGATGTTTTGTTACCAACTGTCCCTTTTTCTCCATTCCATTCTCACAAGCTCAGATACAAATGTCCCTTCTCACTTGCCTTTGATCCTTCTACAGCAAGATATGGCCATGATGATCATTAAACATATCCCTTTTGCTATCTAAGAAGCCATCTCATAGGGACCATATTAATCCAGTCCTGGCCTATCTTCGCTGACTTCCAATTTGTTTCCAGGCCCAATTCAAGTTGCTAGTGCTGACCTTTAAAGCCCTATACAGCTTGGGACCAGCATACCTGAAAGACTGTCTAGTCCCATATGAGCTTACTCAACCACTACAGACATCTTCTAAGGCCCTACTTCAAGTGCTCCTGCCTTCTGAGATTTGGCAGGTAGCAACCCAAAAGAGGGCCTTCTTGGTCATGCCACCAAAACTATGGAACTCTCTCTCCAAGGATATTCATCTTTACCCTTCTGTCACTGTCTTCCACCCGCAGGTGAAGACAATGTTTCATTTGGCATTCCTTCAGTGATCGCTCCTTCCTGCCCTATATTTTAATTATTGTTTTTCTGTGCTTCTACACACATATTTTAGTGCTGGTGTTAACTATTATGATGTGTTTTTATTATGCTTGTTTTAACTTCTAGCTGCACTGATGAGGCAGAAAGGTAGAGTACAGATTTTGTAATAAATAAATGCTGATTTTTCCCTTTTCAGGCCACCATTTTCTGCAAGACGAAATCCTGCAGCCGCAGCCACCACTGGCCCCTTCCTTTAAGTTAGTGCCATGCATACCAATAGGCTTCTGCATATGGATCATCATTCTCGACCAGACTGGGAGTGCATACTCAGTGACCTCAACTAGCTGGGGTCAAGCAAAATGCTAAACAAACAGTAGGACTGCGCATTATGGGGAGGGCATTTTAAGCTCCTCCTTTCACTCTCTTTCCCCAGAGTGATTAGGTCTGTCAAAGCAGACAGCATTGATCATAAATGTATAGCAATGTATGCAAGACTGTTCTGCACACAAGGCTTCCTAGATCACCTGTGCTGTGTACATGATCCAAGTCAACTGTGGTTAGAGAACTGCTACATTCTGCAAGGAAATTAACTACTCTGCTTATAAGTTTTATACTCAAAGCATAAGAGTTAAATTCTAAGACAGTACATTAAAAATAACTATGACAGAAGTTACTCTCAAATGTAGGTAGAGCCAGTATTTAGCCTCAGCTGGCATTTAAGCCCTCATTTGGGCTGTATTCCCAAGCAACCCGACTCTGAGAAGACCTGGTCCCAGAGTGGTAGGGGCCACTGTTGGCTTCACACTATCCACAGGCCCTGAACTCTCTCTTCAACGTTCTTTTCAATTTTCCCTTACAGTACCAGTTGACTATCAGTCTCTTACCAGTATTTAGCCTTAGGTTTTTACCAAGGTAGTTGGTGTTTAAATCACTTACAGGCACAGGGAGACAAAGCTCGACTCTTTTCTGGGCAAATGTTGTTGATAAATTTGAAAGAGATTGTGGTTGCTATAAACCCAACTCTTTCTGAAGTCTCCCTTCATTCTCCTGCCCCTCTTCCCCACATGTCTATTAAATTAAATTGAATTGAATTAAATTAAAGGGGGTAGCAGCAGTGCTAGACAACCATTATACACACATCAGTTCTCTCTCACTATGGTCTCAGGTCAAACTACGGAGTCAGTATGGCATAGTAGCGACAATGCTGGATTAGGACTGAGGAGAATAGTATTTAAATCTCCATTCTGCCATGAAGTTTCCTGAGTGATCTTGAGCCAGTCACATACTCTCAGCTCTCAGAGCTGTTGTGAGATTAAATCCATATATGCAATCATAAACTCTTGGAAGAAGGGTGAGGTAAAATATAACAGACACAGATTTCCATGGTACATCAAGCAGTACCTGAGAAAAGCAGCAACTAGTTCCAGGTATGCAGCCAATGCTGCCATAACAAATCATACCTGAAGCAATTTTAGACATGTTTCAAGTCATTCTCTATAAAACATGAAAGGTGAAGCACTTGTATTTCACTGAAAATATACACACTGCAAGGCTACCTTTTCATCTCAGTGATACACACACACACCTCAAATTTGGAACCTCTACCAGCAAATTTTACCCCATTTAAATTTTCCTTAAGACGGTTTCAGCTCTCTCTCCACAACAGTCTTCAGAAATCATCATGAGTACAGCTCTGCAAATAACAGGCAGTTATGCAGTTCTGAGATTGCATACCATATCCTTCTGGTAAATCTGGAGGAGTATGTAGATGGGTCCTGCTCATATAATTCCTGTGCCTCTGAGACCTCACTCTTCTCTCTGCTAGCCTGGGATCAGATGACTGTCCACATGTTGCACCATTTATAGCTGTAATGGGAGTGTTCTCATCCACAAAGCAGCTCAGAGGTCGACCTGGACTGGAATATTCTGATGCCGGCCTGCAGAAAAATAATAATATTATTTTCTTTGTAAAGGAAAAATGTTTCCTAAGACTGTGGATAGCTTTAACTGAATGAATATAGTATACATGCCAACATGGATGGCCAAATGAATTCTATTTAAGAGCAAGGTGACTGAAGCTTGTTTGTAACTATGGCCACAAAATGCTGTTTTATACAGAAACATATAGTGTTTCTATACCAGTGATGGAACAAAGAGCTAAAGTGACTACCCCCTGTGTTTCTATTTATTTCTTTACCTTGTTAAATAATCTAATATCTAACACCCAATATACAAAATTAAACAGAAACAATGGTCTTAGGCATGCGGTAACCACGTAGGATTGCCAACCTCCAGGTGGGGCCTGGAGCTCTCCAGGAATTACAGCTGATTTCCAGACCACAGAGATCAGTTCCACTGGAGGAAACGGCAGCTTCAGAGGGTGGACGTGGGACATCACATCCCCGTTGAAGTCCCTCCTCTTCCCCCAAATCTCCCAGCCTGGAGTTGGCAACCCTATCACCAACATGCACGCTGATCATTAATGCAATAAGACATCATGATACAGTGGCAATATAAAATTTGTTTACCTAAAAAAAAAGACATCATGATACAGTGGCAACCACTCACAAAGGTGTCAGACCATCTACCCACAACCCCTCTTTCATATACTGCATCAATTTCCATGATCACCATCATGCAGACCGGGATTACACACAAGTGACATTTAAGACCACAGAGATCAGTTCCACTGGAGGAAACGGCAGCTTCAGAGGGTGGACGTGGGACATCACATCCCCGTTGAAGTCCCTCCTCTTCCCCCAAATCTCCCAGCCTGGAGTTGGCAACCCTATCACCAACATGCACGCTGATCATTAATGCAATAAGACATCATGATACAGTGGCAATCACTCACAAAGGTGTCAGACCATCTACCCACAACAACCCCTCTTTCATATACTGCATCAATTTCCATGATCACCATCATGCAGACCGGGATTACACACATTTATTGACACAATTTATTGTTGTCAATAAATACAACAAACAAAATACTTCCATCCTATATGTACAGTTTTCATATCTATTTAAATAGTAGAATGCACCCATTAAACTTGTGTGTGTTAACACAGACATAAGGTGAAAACAACCATGTAGGAAGGGTTTTAAATTACAGAAGTTATGTTAGGATATTCATGACCAATGGCAACAGGGGAAGAGGGCCCAGTAGGAACGAGGGAAGAGAAACAGTCTGTAGCCCAATTTTTAGGAATTATGAGCTCCTACTACTGAACACCATAAGAGGCATGCGTGCTCAGAATCATTCACTGACAGAGTAATACACATGCTCTCCTCTTAGGGATTCTTACCGTGTTGGTCGCTCCCATTGTGTTGTTCGTGTAATGTGATTTAAATACTGAATCCTTCCAGAGGCTGTCCGCCTTTCTTCCCAACTAGAATCAATTAAGATTAAATACCCTTTATTCATGAGAAGTTTTGTTTTCAGCAGGCAGCATCATATGAACAATAGTCCTTATGAATTATTATCTCCCTCATTACACACACATTCAAGAGTAGGGTTTTTCAGCACAGCGTTCCCCTCCACCATGCACAATGCAAAACATCTTTAATGGCTTCTGAAGTACAAGCGGGTTGTTAACAGGTACAGGGCAGGGGAGAAAGCAAATGTACACTTTTGAACGCAAAAATACCCTGTCACATCCAAACAGCACAAAGACATCAGCAGTAACACATACAAAACCTCTCATGCAATTTTTTACAAGCAATTTGGGTTCCACAAGCAGCAGTTACAGGGTTCCATTGCAACAGGTTCAGAGAATCTCTTTTAAAATCCAGCTTTAAAATTTCTGAGACTGAGCAGAGTCTGCAGCTATTATTACATCTTCTCCGAACAACCTTACATGTTTTAAACAGTACTTTCACCTATCATATCACTCACATAAGGCACGGCTGATGAGTCAGAGATTTCCTTGAAACACCAAAAGGAAGTCTCATGAGAGGGAGGGCAGAAAGAGTTGCATCAGTGCTTAGTTCTCATGGCCCTTTCTTACATGCTCAGGGAAATGCTGATCGCCACTGGGGTCAGGAAGCAATTTTCTTCAGGCCAGTTTGGCCAGGGGTCCTATAGGATTTTTTTGCCATCTTCTGGGCATGGAGCAGGGGTCACTGCAGATGTGGGGGCGAGGTAGTTGTGAATTTTCTGCATTGTGCAGGGGGTTGGACTAGATGACCGTGGAGGTCCCTGCCAACTCTAACATTCTAAGAAACATCACTTAAATCTCAGTTAATAGTGCATCCAATTGAAGAACATTAAACTTACATTTTTAAAATTATACTTCTAGAAGTTATTTTACATCAATTCAGAATACCAACATTTTCATATATGCCTTTAACATAACACTGTTTTCCCCCTTAGAAATTTTAAGTGAAAGTATGTGCAACTGTGACTTACTAGAAATACTCTCGGATAGCTATAGCTCTGATTGCCCCTTCATACTTAAAATAAAATAAGTCTATGTAAAAATAATTTTTAAACAAAGAAGTAAGGCTGTGCAAAAAAAAAATTCAGTATTTTTTGGGTTCAGGTATATTGAACCCAAAAAATATCAGTACTTCCTGATATTCCCGAATCCCAATTTTGGTATGGTATTTGGATATATTCGGGATAGCCTTTTTTCCCCTTTTTTTTTTGCTCCATTATACCATATGGGAACCATTATAGTCAATGGTCTGCATAGGCTATAATGGAGAATTGATCTGGGGGTATCTGGGGCTCTAGGGGGGCTGTTTTTTGAGGTAGAGGCACCAAATTTGCAGCATAGCTGCTGATGCCTCTCAAAAAAACCCTCTATATTTCCAGTTCTATGGGCCCAAGAAGAAGATGCCCCCATTCTCCTTTGTTTCCAATGGAGGGGAAAAGGCATTTAAAGGGACTCATCTGGGGCTGGCTTGTAGTAATAGCTGACCCAAATAAAAGCCAGGGAAAAAACCCTTTCTTTTGGGCTCAGCTATATCAGTAGCCCAATAGAGATATGTATTTGGCTTAAGTAATACCTGAAAAATACCAATAAGGTATTTTTTGGATATTTATTTGGTTTAGTTTATACCAAATGCACACACCTACAAAGAAGTATTCTGCAATACCACTAATGTCAAATAAAATTTGAATTACTGTCATGACATGCAGTGTATTCCTGCCTTTATAGTGTTTACTTACCCATCAGGTAGATCATTGTCAAATAGCCTACTGCAATCTACAACTTGACCTCCCGTGCCTATCCGGTCTCTGGACTGAAGACTTACTATTAAAACGAAAGTCAAAATTAAAGATACTGTAATGCAGCTCAAACAACAACTGTGTTTGAAAAAGAACAATATGTCTTATAGAGAAGTTTTATAAAGCCACCATTTCATTAGTTTTCCACTAATTAGGCCAAATTAGAAGATCTGTATTCCCAAGCGGCAAGAATTCACATATTATTACTATAAACTACCTTACATTAATATAAAGATATAATTTTATATTTCTATCTAAGAACATGATTGTAGAAAGTGGATCAAAATCCATACAATGGGACCATGTTCAGAGAAGGGATGATTTTTCTACAAACAAAAAATAAAAATAGATAAGTGGTGGTGATTTAAAAACCCCAGGAGTGAAAGAATAAATAAACTCTCACAATGCTGCATCATGAGATCTCAGCCATCATTTGGGTGATTACCTAGCAAACCCAGTAAATAATGTCAGAGATAGCAATGGCTGCAGGGCATAAAGAGGCAAGCAGTGACATGGAAGAACAAGAGAAAGAAGAGGAAGCAGTGGCAACAAGGAGATTGTGTTGGCAGAGTGTTAGGGCTGGAATATTCCAGGACTGGGTACCAAAGACTGGCTGAGCTTGGAGCTCTAGAACAATAGCCCACCAGGACTCTTGGAGGTGACCAATGAGAAAATAATGTTATGTAAATAGCCTATCATTGGGAGTTGGGTGTGTTTGGGTGTGGTTTTGCATGCTGTTTAAACAGGACTGTTGTCCTGAGGTTTCAGTCTTGTTCCTGAAATCACTTAATAAAGTAAGAGCTGTTCACTGCAATGCATCTTGAACCCAGTATTTAATACAGAGAAAGGGCTGAGGAGCCAGTAAGAGGGCTGAGGAGGTATAAAGAAGCAACAAAGAGAGGGAGACAAACATATGGATGAGGGGAAAGACCCAGCAGGGGAATGGGATTTTCCCACTCCCACAAGTTATTTGTGGGTCCCCTATTTGTTAGTATATAACAGCCAGATCCAAAACTTTCCCTGTCACATTCAGAGCAGTCATAAGTGCAACAAAGTGAGGGAACTGACTTGAGGAAGGGAGAAGACCCACTGCTTTACTAAGTAAACCTGCCTTTGGGGGGGGCTACTGCCATCTTCTCCTCAGGCTGGGGGATTACCCCCCCCCATCTTCCCTCATTTTTCATCCGCCTTCCACTACTGCTGCAATGCACTGTTGCAGGAAAACAAAACAGCAGAGATCTCTATAAAGTGGCAGCTTTCTTTGCTCCTGGGTGATATAATTTTGATGGTGCTGCCATGGGGTAAATAAAGCAGTCTCTCTAAATACCTGACCACTGCTCTAACTTTTTTTTCCCCTAGCAAGTATGAAAGAATTTTGTGATAGCAGTGAGAAGAGTGGTGGCAGCATGGGGAACAGGGCAAAGAAAGAGCCGGAAGCTTAGGTGGCTTTAGCTACAATATAGGACACAGCTGAAAAGAGGCAGAATGTGAATGTCTGGCCTAGTCCCCCACCTCAGTGGTGTCCCCCTTTACTATCTTTTCCACATGCAAAGGACTACCACTAACTCCTTTCAGGGAAAATAGAATGTACTTGTGGATAACATTGGGGTGGGGTCCAAAACTAATTAATTGCCAGGGCCAGTCCTCCCTGACAGGGATGCAACAGAGAAGAAATATACCTCTATGCAAAAACAGTTCACTGATTATTAACAGCAAAGGGTGCTAAACCACAGTGCTTCCATATCCCTTCAAATAGGAACTTTGCAATGAACTTTTGAATTGTTTGGCACTTTAATATTAATTTGCACTTTTGTCTTGTTTGGAAGATGAACAGTACTTTTTAAAAATAACCCATTTATTTGACACATTAATGTACTGCACATAAAACACAGCCACAATGCAGAATTGGCAGAATTTAAATGAGACAAACATTGCTCACATTTCCAATAAAAATATACACGGCTAAAAAAAAAATGACACTGCCTTTATCCATGGTAACATATTTCTTAAGCATAAACCATCTTCACAACAGAACAAAAAAATGGCAGTTCTGTACCTGAAGTGTAAATTGTAAGACAAAGACTGTATGTGAAAGCCTAGGTAGTCCTGTTTACTTTAAAAGCAGGTTAGCTGAGAATGAAACTGAACACATGACTTTATTTGTGGGTTCTGTGGCATAAAGATTAATGTGCTTTTCCTAATCCTGTTTTGATTGGAAACGAAAGCTCATGTCTAGACCAAAATGAGCATCTATCCAGCAAAAGATAATGTAGAAACCAGACCCACTTGCAGCCAAAAACATACTCATATTCAGAATGTGGGTACCAACTGGAAGTAGAACTCTACAAGTGCTTAGACTGTCAACATTTTCAACCAATACTGATAATTTTAAAAATGTATAACTATGAACTAAGTATGTGATTAAATCTGAAAACTATAGACAGAGTACTCTAGCATTCCACTTTCCTCCATTGTTTAATTCAAAGACATTTCGTCCAAATATAAATATAAAGCTAGCACATGAGGAAGTGGATTCTTAATTGTAACAGTTCAAACAACAAAACAGTTTAACCACTGAGTGAAGATATTGGCTTTACAATGAAAAACAGTAACAGCCAAACAAAACAATCTGTAGTACAATGTGTGTTATTTTTCACAAGGATTTTGTCAAAGGAAGTCTTTTTTCATGTGGGTGCCATGACATGGAAGCACATGTACAATAGGTAAGTTTGTAAAGGCTGTGACATAATGGACATGATCCAGCCAAAGTTAAGCAATTACAAAGCCTGCTTATTTTAATGGGAGAAGTATGATCAGCTTAACTCTCTCACACTGAAGGCCACAAGATTTTAAAGCATATAATTGGCTGGACAATAACTTGAATAACACCTAATATTGTTTGGTACATCAATAATTACTTGAATAACAAAACTGAGGAAATCTTGTTCAGGAAAAGTTACTCATGAACTGCCATTAAACCAAGGTTTCTGAAAGGAGAAACAGAAATCTATAGGAACACTAAATAATAACACTAAAAGTATTTTTAAAATACAACAACAGTAACAGGAAGAAAAGTATTTTACACAGATTTGGTAGCCACTGCTTCATTTGAATGTATTCAACAGGAAACCCCCCCCCCCAAGTGGCATGGGAAAAAATGGACCCTTTTGCTTTGATCCAGCAAAGTGTTTCTGTGGATGGAAGGAATTCTCTTAGCTCCACTTTGCATTCCAGGGTGCATACGGGGCTACAGAGGAAGGGGAAGGCAAGAAAGCTGTGCTCTGTGCCTGGAAATCCTTCTGCCCATGAAACACTCAACTGGATCCAAACCATACATAGCAGAAGTCTCCAGAAGACTGCCCTTCTTCACCTGTCATATGAAAGTGGAGGGCAGGGGGAGGTAATAGGAGAAATCTAGAAAGAGCTGTAGTACTGCTAAACATTTGCCCATAGTTCAAAGATTTAGTACAATTGTGTTTGGCGTTTTACGTCTACTATCACATATTCAAACTATCAACAAGCCAACACTTACCTACTATCTGTCCTCTAACAGTATCATTGTCATTTGGTCCAAGCTTGCATAGATCCAACCTCTGATCTATAAAAACAGAACACTTTACCACATGCAACAATCATGTGACACTTGACATACCATAAAACATTTCTAGAAGCCACCAAATAGAGACAAAGAACATTTTCATTCTTGAGATACTCTCCCACCAATAAAGAAAAACAACTTCCATAATACCAACATTTTAAGTCTCTCTAAAAAACTTGTTCAAAAACAAAGTGTTTGCTTATCTACTCACAACCAGTGTCTTTAAGGCGGTTGATAGCATTGGAAAGAAGTCTCACACAACCCAGAAAACCAGCTCCCTGTTTTTTATGGATTTTCTTATGGTTCCATACGCTGATTGTTATCGAGTCTGACTTTCCAATGTATCTGAAAAGTGACAAGAAATCAGAAAAATACAAATGTTGTAGATTGTATATTTTGGACATTCCATGGAATACAGTTTCTTTTTGACTACTTATCAGTGCTTTTGAGGCTAAAAGCAGCATAAATATTACATCTGCTAGCAGGTGGTCACATTCACAGGAACTACATGCTGCAGACTGCAACAGACTTTCAAGTAAATATATTTGTAAAACAGATTTTATATGAAGGAATTTCAAAGAGCTTTTCAAAATGTTTTGCATAAATCAAACATTGCCAACGTCCTTTGGCTAGACAATGACAGAATGTCTAAGTTAAAATGACTTGTATATCATCGGGTGTTTAAGCCTGAAGGATATAAGATTTAAGAATTATGGCTATCCCCAAGAGATGTTTAGCCCAGTCTTCTTCCATTACATAGATGCTCTCCCTGTCAGCACAAGCAACCAAGTATTCCACTTACTAAACACATCCTCCTGGTGGTGGAAAGTGCTGTCAAGTTGTAACCAACTTATGGCAATCCCGTAGGATTTTCAAGGCACGAGATGTTCAGAGGTGGTCTGCCATTGTCTGCCTCTGCACAGCGACCCTGAACTTCCTTGGTAATCTCCCATCCTAATACTAACCAGGGCTGACCCTGCTTAGCTTCCGAGATATGATGAGATCGGGCAAGCGTGGGCCATCCAGGTTGGGGTGAAATATATCCTCCTACACTGAACCCTTTTAAATGATCTACTTCCCCTGCAAGATCTAACCATAAATGTAGCTGTCAAAGTAGGCAGACCAAAAGCCTGACCTACCTTCTGAGTTACAACTGTAGGTCTTTTCATGCTACCACTCATGCATTTCTCACCCCCAAACCTAGCTTCTTTCTTGTATGCAGGCCTTCAGACAGCAGGATATTGGAAGATTTCACTTTATGGCCTGCATACGAGAACAGAACAGACAAGCACAGCAGGGAACAACACTGCTCTACAGGCACACTGGTGATTATGGAGAAAGGAAAATATGATGGCCTAGCTACATTTAGATTAAAAACAACGCAGAGTTTTGTTATGTTTAATGAACGAAATTATCAGCAGCATAGAAACATACATGCAATTTTAGGACAAGTCATAGTTTAGTCTATCGGCCTTGACAATGTCATTTTAATAGTGTGTGCCTATGAAAGCTTATACCTTGAATAAAACTTTGCTGGTCTTAAAGGTGCCACTGGACTCAAACTTTGTTCTGTTGCTTCAGACTAACATGGCTGCCCACCTGAATTTAATATTGTATAACTGTAACAAAAGGTTTTAAGTCCCAGATAAATAACAAAAAAGTCTGTTTCATATTCTGTGTTCCTGCTTATAATAGTTACAGAATTTAAAAAAAAGTAAAATGCACTAACCATCTTTTCCAATGTTCAGTGCTTTGTTCTAAATCCTTTTCATATGCTATGTCAGCTGTTACAATGTTTCCAAACACTTGGAAACTGCTAAAGGACACGCAGTCTGAGTCTCAAGCACAGAAGCGATACAAACTGCTCTTGCAGTGTGGCAGGAGGGGAGCAGGTGAGAGAAGAGTGCTTGAATTTTTAGCTAATTCTCTTCTTCAAATTCAGACAAACGAATCAATACATTTGTTTCAAGAGGACCAGTATGTTATAGTACACAGATCAGGATTCAGGAGATCCAGGTTCAAATCTGTCACGATGTCTCAGCCTAACCCAGAGTGGAGTCTTGTGAGCTGTGGAGTCCTGTGAGCAAAAATTCTACTTTGTGAGCTACCGGCATTAAAGGTGTGAGCAAGCATTACATAGACTGCATAAATTAGTCTGCTCTGGAGTCATCCTTCCTGAGCTAAGGCAAAAATGTGTGAGCCGGAGGCTAAAAACTTAGCTTAGTGTGAACACTGGCTGAGACCCAAAAGTGGGCTGCAAAGCCTCTGAAAGTAGGTCACAGGCCAGCCCTCCCAAACGGCTGCTTCTGCCCTTTGCATGATTCTTTCTTCCCCTGTCCTCCCTGTCAGCTTCTCACATTCTCACCTTACTTTGTGACAATAACTGGGGGGAGGTCTGTTGGGAAACTCATAACTTTATCATAGTAACTGGAAGGAGAGGGAAAAGGTGGAAACTTGGTGGGAGCTGTTCAGTGTGTGGACAAGAAGGAGGAAGCAAAAAAGAAGTATGCGGATATGTGGGCTTCATTTTGGTGCTATTCCTTCAGTAGCCATACTTCTTGCCCAACCCCTCTCCCAGGACCTAGCTGACCTCTACCTGCTGTTGGAGAGCCCTTCACTGCTAACACCTTTGCCACCATCTGCCATCTTCATACCTCTCCTCAACTCTCCCACCCAGTGCACCTCCTTAAACTCTACTCAGCTGGCAAAGAAGGGGTGACAAAGAGAAGTCCCTGTTCTCAGGTTGTTGTCCTCAGGTGAAGCCTTGTCAACCCTCCACTTGGTAGAGCAGACTCTTTGTTATAACACCTTCTCCCCCACAAGTGACTTCTGAGCAAATTGCTGTTGTGCAGCATCTACTAGGTGTGCGCGAAAACCCCCCTCAGTATTTTTCGGGTTTCGGGTAGGTTGTTGTTGTTCAGTTGCACAGTCGAAGCAAAAGTAGATGTTTTTCTGGTACTCCCTTGCTTTCTCCATAATCCAGTGAATGTTGACAGTTTTGAGCTAGAGGCACCAAATTTGTAGCACAGCTGCTGGTGCCTCTCCTCAAAAAAAACCCCCAAGTCTCAAAAAGATTGGACCAGAGGGTCCAATTCTACGGGCCCCCAAGATGTTGCCCACATCCTCCACTGAAACCAATGAACAGCTGGGCTGGTGTATGGTATGATTTTATGACAGTTTAATTTCTAGTCTGGAATTTGTATTGTTTTGTAGTTTTAAATGTTATGCTGTATGTGGGATGTGCAATCACATGACTATTTCAAGGCATTCCACAAGGACTGCATCATCTTTCACTTGGTATAAAGCTCCAGCACTTTCATCTATCAGCACTGCTCTTTGCTATAGAGGCAATTTTGCTGTGGACACTTTGGCTTGAACTAAACAATCATTGGAAGGCACTTTCTGGACCAAAAGTAACAATATAATATTATTTATTTATTAATTTGTGAATTAAGTTTCAATATTGTAGATTGCATTGGTTTTTTTTTGGGTTTTTTGCATCTAGATCATATAATCAGTGAAATATCATTTGGCACGTGATTGCATCTTTGGAGGCCTCATTTATACTTTTATTCTGTGCCTAGTGGTTTCACCTTGGAAATAAGTCAATATGTTTTTTTTAGTAGAATATAGACATTGTTTATTCATTTTATTATATGTATTTAATTTCACATTCTTAATTTTTTTACAGCAATTCTTTTCTGGTCCATTTTGTATCCATGTTGTATAATTGTCTTGTATTATGGTATAAGCCAATTTGTTCCTCATTGTCTTTGACGTCTGAAGAAGGCCTAAACAGGGCAGAATGTGTCAGGTCAAGTCCACTGGCCCCTGTGTGTATGATTCTGGTATTTTTATATGAGGTATAATTAGGCCCTTACATGTTTTTTTTTAATTCTTTGCTAATAAATACATGTATTTTTATATTATATACAGTTGTTGGCCCTCTACTCTGCTGGACTTACCTCTTTAGGTTCTTGATCCTAGGTATCAGGGTTAAATTTGTTCCCCCCTTTTTTGTCCCTAGTTTGGTCAATACTTGGACCATTGAGTAAAATATAGAATTTAAATAAAAAGGGGGCCAATTACAGCCTTGCTTCACTCCCTTAACATGAATCCTGTGTGAAGGGTAACCTTGCTGTTTAGTTGTTATTCCATCGCACAGTCGAGTCTGACTCTTCACGACCCCATGGATCACTTCACGCCAGGCCCTCCTGTCTTCCACCATCCTCCAGAGTTTGTTTAATTTCATGTTCGTTGCATCAGTAACCCTGTCTAACCATCTCATCCTTTGCTGTCCCCTTCTTCTTTTACCTTCAATCTTTCCCAGCATCAGGGTCTTCTCCAGTAAGTGCTCCCTTCTCATTTGGTGACCAAAGTATTTGAGCTTCAGCTTCTGTATCTGGCCTTCCAAGGAAGTCAGGGTTGATTTCTTTTAGGATTGACTGATTTGATCTCCCTGCAGTCCAAGGGACTCTCAAGAGTCTTCTCCAGCACCATAATTCAAAAGCATCTATTCTTTGGTGTTCGGCCTTCCTTATGGTCCAACTCTCACAGCCAGACATTACTAATGGGAATACCATTGCTTTGACCATACAGACTTTTGTTGGCAGGGTGATGTCTCTACTTTTTATTATGCTGTCTAGGTTTGCCATCGCTTTCCTCCCAAGGAGCAGGCGTCTTTTAATTTCATGGCTGCAGCCACCGTCTGCAGTGATCTTGGATCCCAGGAACGTGAATTACCATCACCTCCGCTAGCTTTGTTGTTAGTAATGCTTTCTAAGACCCATTTGACTTCGCACTCCAGGATGTCTGGCTTGAGGTCAGTGATCACACCATCACGGTTGTCAAGGACATTGAGGTCCTTCTTGTATAGTTCTGTGTATTGTTGCCATCTCTTCCTAATCTCTTTTGCTTCTGTTAGGTCCCTACCGATTTTGTCCTTTATCATGGCTACCTTTGCATGGAACATCCCCCTGATTTCTCCAATTTTCTTGAAGAGATCTCTAGTCCTTCCCATTCTATTACTTTGCATTGTTCATTCAGGAAAGCCTTCTTATCTCTCCTTGCTGTTCTCTGGAAATCTGCATTCAGTTGGGTAAATCTTTCCTTTTCACCTTTGCCTTTCGCTTTCCTTCTTTCCTCAGCTTTCTGTAAAACCTCATTAGACAGCCACTTCGCTTTCTTGCATTTCTTTTTCTTTGGGATGGTGCTGCTTGCTGCCTCCTGTACAATGTCACGAACCTCCATCCATAGTTCTTTAGGCAATCTATCAAATCTACACCCTTAAATCTATTCTTCACCTCCACTGTATATCCATAAGGGTTGTGATCTAGGTCAAACCT